GGTGCGGGCGTTGCGGGGCCCCCCCTTTCTGGCCCCCCGCCCCCTTCCTCTCCCACCTCTCTTCGCCCTCGCGGCGCCGAGGCCCAACGGCCGCTTTTGTCCGGGGGTGGTCGCGTCCGGCCGTCCGTCCGTCAACGCTGCCGGCTGGGGGGAGACGAGGCCCGGTCGGCTCTGCCCTACTTTTGCCGGCGCCCTCCCCTCCGCTCCGCGCCGCCCTGCCGCTCCCGGATCTGCGGCCTGCCCCCCGGTACCGGGCCGCGGGGAGGCGGCGGTCCGGCCCTGAGGTACGCTGCTCCCCGCCTTCCTCGGGGCCGGCTCGACCCGAGGTTAGGGTGGGGGGCTGCCGCGTCCTCAGCTGTATGTGGGGGGCAGGGCTGGACGTCTCCTGTCTGAGCCCCGTGCCGGGCTGTGCTTCCGCGCCTTTATGTGGATGGGGTTGCGCCGGGTCAGGAACCGGCCCGTCATGTGGGGACGGGGCTCCGTGTTACCCGGCCTCTGTCAGCCTGGGGCTGTGTGGGAAGCCCGGCAGGGCTTTGCCACGGAGCTTGAGAGCTTGATCGTGGTGTGTTTAGTGATGATAATAATAATAATAATGATAAAGTTGTTTGCTGTTGTTGCTGAAGGAAATGACAGTGGGATAGTGAACTGGGAGAAACCCTTCTGGAAGGAGCTGGTTGTAGAGAGGGATCTGGTGCGCCTTGAAGTCACGCTGGATCTGAACTCTGAGATGCAGTGGATGCAGGAGGGTGTGCTGCGATGCCCACAGTGCTACTTGGTGCCACCTGAGGGTCGCTCAGGTGCTGTGGCTTGCAGCCTTGTGCAGGTGTGCGAAGGCTGAGTGCTCACGGTCCTCTCAGTCGTGTTGGGAGGAGCTTTGTGAAAGTTGTGGCTTTGTGTTGAGCTACGTGTGGGAAGCTGACAAGGGCCAAGCATGGAGCCGTGATCGAGCCCTAGTTGGCTCAGTTTAAGTGAGGGATAGAGACTTACAATAAAGTAGCATATCAAGGCAGTGCCCTCTGGGGTGGCAGTTGCTGCTGAAATGGAGGGGCTGTCCTGGTGTGTGAGTGTTTTTTTTTGTTTTTTTTTTTTTTTCACGGAGAGAAACTGGAGCTGTGAGTGAAGCAGAGGGAGGGGGAGGATGTGCAGGCCTAGAGCAGCACTTTCCATTGAAAATGGAGCTCTTCACAGAGAACAGCATCAGCTAAGCCTTTGGAAACCTTTTTTTGTTTGCTTGTTTTTTAAATATTTACCAGGCCCTTTTAGGAATTGTCTCGGGTATATTGTGATCTGTGATGGAATCTGGGCTTGCATTTTTATCTGAGTGACTCACTATTTATACTTGTTTGATCTCTCTGTGGTGGTTTGAAATAACTTGCTTAAAGAATTTATTTTTAACTCTATGCTAGGTAACTGTAAAGCAAGGTAGGCTAAATCATTTTGCAGCATTAATGATGTTTTGGGACTCCAGGAGTGTTACATGGAGAAACTGGATTAACTGGTGTGAACTGATTTTGATGTATAGTCTGGAAAATGGGCATGCTTTTTGTTTATAACCTAAACAGTCTTGGTAACTTGGAAGAGGGAGGGAGGAATAGGAATGCTCTGTTCTCTTTTGTTCTGGCTACAATTTTATCAGCATACTGATTTTAAAAAGTGTTTATAACAATAAAACAGCAACAACAACAACAAAAAAAGGCACTGAAATTCAGAACCTTGATCTGTTCCACTTCTGTTGTTTTGACTAGTCCTCAGGAAAGCTTCTGAGCTTGCAAAAGGGCTTCACTGTTCAAGATTAGAAGTGCAGATTTACCACCAAAGTATAGAGTAAGCCAAGGAGAACCCCAACAACAAAATCTTGTTGGTCGCTGTAACCTGGTCTTCCTGTTTTTGTTTTGTTATACTTTTGGGATTGTAGGGGTAGACGTGTTGTTTTATTTTTTCTTCCATGTGCTTCTATGCGATGTTTCCTAATCAGGCACCGTTTTTTGGTATGTTTTATGTTTGTTGCTGGTGTCCCTCTAGTGATAGTGATCACAGCAGGATGATGTGCTGTTTAATAGTACTTGAGAAATGCTTGTATAGTGGAATATTGATATTATGTTAATAACTAGTACTAATAGTAATGTTTACTTGTAATTTCAGTTGTGGTTAGTACCGGTACTTGGCAATGTGAAAGGATAAGAAAGAATACAGATATGGATGATCTTATCTTTGTTTCATGTTAGGTAGAAGCCCAGGAGCAGCTCTCAGAAAAGCTGTGCTCTGTTTGCAGGTTTGCAGCAGCCTTGTATGACCTTGGTAAGAGGGAAGCTGAGTGACTTGTCCCCTTTACAAACGGCCAGATTCAAAGACACTTTGTGTTACATTTGTGTACTTCAAAACTGTTGAGCAGAAGGTGCTAGGAAATACAAGTAATAACTTGACTTCAATGTTGGTGGTCTGCTGGATCTTAACATTTTATTTATTTTGTTTCTTTCTGTCCCTGATACAGTCTGCTGGCTTGTAGACCCTTGTGTCCTGCTTGCTTCTCAGAGACTTGGCTTGGACTTGTGCTGTTTTTCATACGGCTTCCATAAACAGGTTATGTTCATTAAAGTGAGAGTTGGGATGAAAGATTTTGAAATAGACAAAGACAGCTGTTGGAGAGGGTCCAGAGGAGAGCCACAAAGATGACTGGGGGCTGGAGCATCTCCCCTACGAAGACAGGCTGAGGGAGCTGGGCTTGTTCAGCCTGGAGAAAAGAAGGCTGCAGGGTGACCTCATTGCAGCCTTTCAGTACCTAAAGGGAGCCTACAAACAGGAGGGGAATCAACTCTTTGAAAGGGTAGATAACTGCAGGACAAGGGGAAATGGTTTTAAGTTGAGGGAGAGAAGATTTAGGTAGGATGTCAGGGGAAGTTCTTTACAGAGAGAGTGGTGAGGTGCTGGAACAGCTGCCCAGAGAGGCTGTGGATGCCTCGTCCCTGCAGGTGTTCAAGGCCAGACTGAATGGGGCCCTGGGCAGCCTGGTCTGGTATTAAATGGGGAGGGTGGTGGCACTGTCTGTGGCAGGGGGGTTGGAGATTCATGATCTTTGAGGTCCCTTCCAACCCTGGCCATTCTGTGTTCCTGTGAAATAGCTCCTTTCAACTACTTAAGGCTCATATCATCCAAAAATTGTACAAAGGTTTTCCCTGTGCTACTCTAACATGGAAGTTGTGCTCTTCAACTTTTGCCATCTCTCAGGGCTCCCGGTCCATCCAGGGGCTCTTCCAATCTGTTTCACAAGTTACCTGCAGTTCTTCTCCCCCATGACTTCTCAATACTCTGAAGAGTGAGCAGTGACTTAAGACAGATTAAAGGTGATACGATCTGATGCCTGAGATCTCATCGCTTGCTCAGCTTGCTTTTACTGCATCGTAACTCTTTCGCTGAGTGTGTTGTTTTATTGATGTTCTCTGGAGATTGTAAAACTGGCAGGATAGGTTATATGAACAGCTTTGCACAGCTCCCTTGAATGGAGCTCTTTCTAACTCTGAGTTCCCTGGAAATTCTTTTGTCTGGCTATCTTTGTGAACACTTCTTCGTTTCATCTTCTTTGGAAGATAAACTTGCCAGATGTTCTCCTCCTCCCTCCCCAGCTTGTTGAAATCAAGTTTTCCCGCAGATGAGCGTGGAGGAGTCTCTGACCTGCTTAGTTCTAGTATTTTTTGCATTTAAAACAGTGAAATGTTTCCCATGCTGTGAGAACTTCAGTCTTTCTCAAGACCTGAGGCTTGCCCTATGTAGTACTTGTGTGGTGAACATTATGGATTTTTTTTTTTCTTGCTTTATCATATAGGAAACAAAGTTTATTCCAGATCTGCAGAAGGTGCCGATTCAGAAGAATCATTTAGTATTTGAATTTCAAGTTATGTGCAGATCTCAGCCATCAGGTTTGCCCTTCTTTAACCTAGATTAATGGAAAAGAAGTCCTTCTTCCTATGATAGGCAGCCCTGTGGCTGAAGATGCAAAACTTGAATTCTGTGCCTATTATCCACATTTCTTAATATTCCTAATGGTTTGCTGCACAGGAAGGAGGTCCTACAGTTCTGCTGTGGCTTCGTGTTGAGTACTTTAGCTGTGTTTCCTATGACTACAGTATTGTTCCTGGAAGTAGATAGTTGGAGAATTATTCTTTAGAAACTGTATTGAGATTCATCTTAAGCAGAGAAAACTATTTATTATTTTTTTTGCTACTACTAAGTATACTGTTATACAGTATACATAAGTATACTGTTGTTAAGTATTTTGAGAATGGTTGATATAATGTGGAATGGAGCATGTGGTTTTTTAA